TAATGCAAGTTTCTAAAATTGGGGACATAGCCCAAAGTATTAATAAGACCCTGCAATTCAAAGTTCTTTAGAAATGAAATCAGGCATAAATCACACTTTCAATATGACCACTTAAGGTGTATGTTTGCACCTATAATGAGGGCAAATCTCATAAGAAGATTACATATAGGTAGAATATTGATAGTAAGAGAAATGTAAAGAGAGGAAGACTTTGGTAGCGTGGCCGTGATAGTTATTTAGTCTGGACTTACACTTATCTTATCTTATTTGTCAATACACATCTATTACGTCTTAAGGGCGTAACTCACCGCTTCGTTACAACTCTTTATTAGTTACGAACATGACATGGACACATTAATAACACCTCCTATTGAAGTTACTAGGACACTATATTTACATTACGAGGACATCATATTACGTTACTAGACACTGATTCTCAGACACGAACATGAAATGAATACACTTCCCACGTAAGTAACTCATCCCATGGAAAGCTCTGACAAAAACTCACGTGACCTAGGGGAGGCCTAGCCGGTGGTCCTGGGTTGTCTCTATGGGAGACTGCTTAGCTGGGCACCGGAGGGAAGTCTTGCTTCTGACCGGAGGCGGCTGCCTCTGGTCCTCTCTGTCTCCTCTCAAGCGGGACTGGGGACGTAGTAGCTGGCCCTTCCTGGTTACAAGACACACTCTCGTGAGGAAGGACTAGGACGTCCTATATATTGGAAGACCAGCCGTTAGGTTGAGCTGATCGGGGGGGGCGGCAAAGGGTCTCCTTACATTTGCCCTCGCTAATGTAGAGTCAGGTCTGGACTTTTTCTGAGACTATAAGTTGTTGTATATTCTGGAGAAATCTTCAGATGAATGCTTGCCTGTTAACATCATTGGTGGGGCCGTGTGACATGAGAGGCTCTGGTTGATTTGTGGCCCCTTGACTTGTGCTCGAGGGTTACATTTTACCTGATTAATGTGAGGATAGGTCTGGGCCTTGTCTGGGATGTACTGTAGGTTCCTTGTGTAAATTGGAGAAGGGCCGCAGGTGGCTCCTTTGCTCACTGTGTGTCTTACATATTTGTTGGGGCCGTGTGACATGTGGAGGGGAGCCTAATTGATTTGTAACCCTTGGGCAGCCGCGAGGGTTACCCTTACACTTGACACCCCTAATGTCGGGTCAAGTCTGGACTGTTTCTGAGATGTAAGCTGTGGTCTGACACTCCATCACCACACACCGCCTCCCACTTAGCCACCCAATTATTTTTAATCACTCAAAGACAAATGCTCGTGGACTGGCAACGTAAGCAACAGATGGTCGAGAGAAAGACAAAAGCATGGAAGAACAGAGAACTTGTACTGTACATGGAAGTAGGTTGAAAAAAAAAGAAGAGCGCCATTTTAGGGGTTTAAAGTTGACACAAGTGGAACCAAACTGTTTTACAACGGAACTTGCGCGCGCGTGTGTGTAGATGGACCAAAAATATCAGTATCAAGCCAACTTTGAACAGCTTGAGTTAGAATTGTATAAAACTAACGTATAGATTTATAGTTATCTTCACAATTCACCATTTTTTTTTAGATCACAACAAGCGTCATGTTCAAGAGCCAGTACAGCACTGAACATACATGACCACAGATAGAACTGAACAACCGACCGAATGGCTAGCAAGCCGACAGTGGCAAAGGTTATAAAAAATAAACTCGAAGAATGATTTAACTGACCTATATAGACAGTGATAATTAGCATCTTTTAATCGTTGTTTGTTAGCCAAAGGAAGGCATGGTGTACATTTCGCCAAGTAACGGTATAGTCAACCTGCAAAGTACGTTATATTTTATTTATTTTTTTAATATCCGGAAGGCTCTTGGCTGGGCTTGGTTGAGGCAATGTTTACGTCCTTCTCAGGGCTGCCAACCCCATAGCGCTCTTCCCACCTCGCGTGTTTTAATGTGAAGGCGGTGAGATCACACATAATTGCATACATGCTTGGTGAGTTTGTGTACAGTACATATACATTTGCTTGTACAGTGCCTTGGGTACACACACACACACACACACACACACACACACAATCTGAGTTACAACACAATTCCATCTAAGCTAACAAACCGCAGTATAAAGATATAAATCTGTGCTTATTTGGATAAGTAAAGTGGTGGTTGGATTCTGTTCGTGGAAAATAGTGTGGTACTGTGGTAGTAGCTACAGCAAGCGTAGTAGGGAGGCTCCACACCACCCGCGAGTAAATCACACTGACCTTGCCATACGCATTAAAATACCCGTTAACAATATAGCCTTAAATAATCTGAAGACTGTTATCTCTCTCATGGACAGCATGTTATACAGTGTAGAAAAATCAACTTCGCAATAAGGAAGTGTTTAATAAAAAGTCACTTGCCATTGTTCAGCGGACTTTTTTTTTAACGTCACATACCGAAAGCTCCTTCATTAGTAAAAGGTATTATTTGTCAGTCAAGTCTCTGCTGAGGCAAAATATTTTTAAGTGTTATAAAACGTGGAATAACTTTACATAAATTAACCTTATGTAACCAAGAGGCACATTTCGAATATACGTACGGTATTATTTCACAAGTAAGTTGTGCCCAGCTACAAAGAATTAATCTACAGCGCTTCCTTATCGTAGTTGAGGTGCAGCGTCGATCATTGCCTCATAAAAGTTATATTAGAAATTTCTTTCATTAAACCTTAGTGTCTTTATAATCATAGTTTCATATATTTGTATTTATATTGTATTTAGTTAATATGCTTACAATGGCTTGTTCTATACTGAGCTACATTAAACTAGCATTGTATTAAACATACAGTACTATTGTAGTATAATGAAAAGATAGTTCAAAAGTCCGCTGAACCACACCTTCCCATATGTATACAGGGTCTGTTTTATGCCCTAAAAGTGGTGACATCAATAGCATGGGATTATCTAAGCTTGTATCACATTAGTAGGTAGTAAGTAGTAGGCAGCTACCAAACAAGGGGTACTGCCGCCTGAGAAGATACTGGAAGCATAATGTGGTGTCTAATGGTAGACCCTGCTGCCATATGGCAGAACAAAAATTGTGATCAAGTCCCAGGTTGCTGATTTGACTTTCTGCCTCATTTACACACAATTACAGGTCTCAATTGTTTCTCACTCTTGATTTTTTTTGTCTTTATTATTATTATTATTGTTAGTAGTAGTAGTAGTAGTATCATTATTATTTTATTATTTTAATTTATATTTATTTTTATTATAAATTTTATTTATTATTATTATTATTATTATTATTATTATTATTATTATTATTATTATTATTATTATTATTATTGCATTTTCGCCCCCAGGTCCCGATGTGTGGGTCAGTGACCTGTGCCCGGGTGGGCTAATCCCCGTAAAAAAAAAATAAAAAAAAAATGCGTACTAACTTGTGGTGCACTGGTGGGTTTATCGAATAATATGAAAATGGTACTGTATCAAATTAGTTCTTACACGTCTACAAATATGTCCTTCTATCGTGTGTGAAAAGCTTTGAGATACATCAAACGTTAGTTATGATGTGAAGATGATGAATTATAATATCTTCAGAATTACAACTTATCTGTGTTTCTTCTCATTTGACCAGGTTTCAAAGGCATTGTGTTAATTTGTGTGTCGTTATCACTGTTGCCAAGGAGTCGTGTTGAGTCATGCACTTTTAATTCTTCCAGGGTTGAACTTGGGATATAGTGTTACTTTTCATCAGAGTTGCAAACCAAACTATGCTTTAAACATAATTACTAACAATGAAAAATACCTTTTAATAATATTGTTCAACTGAATTAACATTATCACACACACACACACACACATTATATATATATATATATATATATATATATATATATATATATATATATATATATATATATATATATATATATATATATATATATATATATATATGCTGAAACCACAAGAAAACACGAAGTTCCCAAGGGCTTTCGTGTAATTCACATCTTCAGGGGTGAGTACAGACTAAGGATTAATACTTGACAAGGGTAATATATACAGTATAGGAGAGTGAGATCAAGTACCCAGGGACTTGATCTCACTCTCCTCTACTGTATATATTACCCTTGTCAAGTATTACTCTCTCTAGTCTGTACTCACCCCTGAAGATGTGAATTACACGAAAGCCCTTGGGAACTTCGTGTTTTCTTGTATCCTTGTGGTTATCAGTATATACTTGGATCACGCGCACCTACAGTGATTTACTTGCACACATTATATATAAATATATATATATATATATATATATATATATATATATATATATATATATATATATATATATATATATATATATATATATATATATATATATATATATATATGCAGGCACCATATTCCCGTTGATACACACTTTTCTGTATAAAATACTTAAGAAACACTGACAAACTGATAAATTAGACATACGAAGTAAAAATATCAACAGCTGTGTCCGCTTGAAGCAAAATATATATCTTCATATTTGTTCGTATTTATCATTGTCGATTGTACGTACGTTTTATTTTTGTAGTTCTATTTTTCACGTATTCAGATTTGCGAATACACGCCCAGAAAGCTTAAATTAATAATTATAATAGGTGCAGAGATACTTATTTTAGATTATTAATGTTATTCACAATCGGAAGCTAGATAATAAATCGAGTTAACTGGATTTTGGTAGAATTTAAATATCCGGTGCAAGAAGTTCTCTTGCATCTGGCACTTGGTGGGGGCGGATTACAAATCCTTCGAAAGTGTTAGAGATAATATATATTTAGGACAGTCATATATGATGACTAATTTCTGTGGGATTTATTGTATTTAAGTGTCTTTAAAATGAAAAATATATACAGACAAATAACAAAATATTAGATGCAGTTATTCTAATTTTGCATAAATTATGGTATGTATTTTGAACAGTGTCAAGTTAAAGCCGCAGTCAGGAGCGGAAGGCGGGGAGCACGATGCCAGGTACAGCAGCAGCGTGGCAGTAGTCTCAGTGTTGTGGTGAAGCTTTAAGGCGTGTGTCGTGGCCTGGTGCTCTACCTAATCAAAACAATAACCAGTCTGGGAAGGTACAAAGTTTCAGCTCCCGAATTGCAGTGTATGTGTATTTGTATTAGGTGTAAACGGATGTTTTACGTATGAAATGTGCATTTAAAAGACACCTATAACTAATGTGGTATGGTAATGTTCCTCCATTGCCTGGATGAAAGAGGCGTACAAAGTGTATACGTCTAGCAAACTCTTTATCTAGAGAACCTGTCAAGGTTTATAAATAATCATGATATGGTAAACATTCTCAATGTATATGCTTGTGCAGTCAGCTAGATATCAATCTGTCAAGGAGTCTAATGGAAATTGGCCTCTAATGGCATTTTTGGGCAGTATTCTTGTCTTGCCTCGACATGCTGATTGTCAGTTAGTACGTCTACTCAGTTTATTAATTTGCTGAACCAATGCGATTATATATATGGTTTTAATGGACTAAACAAAGCACCTAAAGGAAGTGTCAAATATAATATAAGAAAAAACAATCTTCCATGTGTGTGTATCTGGAATGAACTGTTTATCAAAGAGGAGTTTTACAGTGCTTAAGTACAGTACTGTTTACTGTTAAGTGCTTTGAGTACTTCCTCTGTTTGATGCTACACTTCTGAGCACCACTTCTTGTCTTCAACTGTCATAAAGGTGAGTACAAATTGTGGTTGAGGTTAGGTTAGGATTTTTTAAAGTTTTTACATTGTTTGACCTTTCAATTTCTCAACTACTGTTTATTTCCGACGGCAATGAAGTTTATATTTGTATTTATCACGATGATTTACACCATAAAAACCCATTTTCAAAAGTCATTTAGGTGGTGGCAACTTCTAAATATTGACCCAAATTGTTTGTTACGTACAGGCATTCCTTAACTGGGGGCCCAACAACCATATTTACCATTTACTGTGGTTAACACCCCTGACTTGTAAGAATAGGGTTCCGGTATTATTGCAGTTTCAGCCCCAACTCGGAGCAATTTTGTGTTTACCATTACTGTAGTTATATCTCATCACTTCCATCGCAAATGAATATTAACCAAGATAGTAAATTCATGTAAGACATTAACGTAAATCTGCAGTCACCGTTTGTCGTGTGTTTGTTTACAATTGACCCTCTCGGGGTGCTGGACAACTCGTATCCAAGCAAATCGTTCCCATCAGAACATTTCAACTCGTACCCAATTTACGAGACAGTTCATACCCATATTTATATATATATATATATATATATATATATATATATATATATATATATATATATATATATATATATATATATATATATATATATATATATATATATATATATATATATATATATTTATTTTAATAAAAAATCCACAATGAAATACAGTACAGTAAAAGTGATGAATAATGATGAATGGATACAGTACAGTGAAAGTAATAAATAATAAGGAATGGATACAGTGTGACTGAGCACTTAACCTTTAATGTAGTCAGCTGAATGCACATGGGGCCCCCATAATTTTCTAATTATACATGGAGACTACATTAACTGGAAACGTTTCGTTATAGAAAATGCGTGTGTCATTTGAAAAAAAAAGAAAAAAAAGAAAAAAAAAAATTTTAATAAAAAATCTGCGGCGGTCGTAAGTCCCGACGGTCGTAAGTCCACGTAGTCGTAAGTCGGGATCTATATATATATATATATATATATATATATATATATATATATATATATATATATATATATATATATATATATATATATATATATATATATATATATATATATATATATATATATATATTCAATGGGTAATCCATTCACCTGTATTAAGCAACCTATATATGGAATTCTTTGAAAAGAAACTATTAAGTAATATTTTACCACCTTCAGCAGTCTGGTTTAGATATGTTGATGATGTATTATGTCTCTGGCCATGTAATGAGGACCTAAAAGCTTTCCTGCCACAACTTAACAACTTAGCCCCCTCGATCAAATTCACTGTGGAATTAGAGCAAGACTGTAAATTGCCATTCCTAGACTGTCTGATACACAGAATAGGTAACACTTTTAAGTTCAGTATTTATAGAAAACCAACTAATGTGTGTTCATACATTCATTATTATTCTGCCCACCATAATAAAGTCAAACAGTCAGTATTTTCAACAATGTTTTTACGTGCCTTGAGAATTTGCAGTCCGGAATTCATTGATGAGGAATACAAATATATATACAATATTGGCTCAAACCTTAAATACCCTAGATCTTTCATAGACAAATGCCTGAACATTACTAAGAAAACTTTTTATAGAACTGATCCCAAGCCCACCCATGACCATAAGAATATCTTAATATTACCATTTCACAAAAATTTCTCACACATTCCTTCACAACTAAAAACCTGGAACGTCAATGTGGCATTTAAAAACTCATGCACTGTTAAACAAATGTTAATCAAGAACTCCCCGAACAACACAATTGGTTGCATTTATAAAGTTCCTTGCAAGGAATATAATATGTTTTACTTAGGCCAGACAGGTAAAGATCTTGCAACTAGAATTAAACAACACAAATACAGTGTTAGGACAGGCCAGGAATCCAATGCTCTGTTTGTTCATTTGAGGGATAACAAGCATTGCATTGACTGGGATAATGCCTCCTCAATATTACCTTGAAATTCAATTGATAGTAGGAACATCATAGAATCTAGTCTTATTAAACATACCGAAGCATTCAACATGAATTTGAGTAACGGCATGTACAAGCTGGACAATTTTGTAATTAAGAAGATTTGTAACCAGGTGAGAAGGTCGGGTCACCTGACCATCTGACATGACCACCAACCGTTGTGTGCTATTTAAAGATTAGTAGGGTCATTACCTAATACCTGACCATTGTGGACCTGGTCTCACCCTCCTCTGTATATATACACCTTGGTTTGTATTTCTCTTTAGTCTGTACTCACCCCTGAAGATGTGAATTACACGAAAGCGCTTGGGAACTTCGTGTTTTCTTCTTTCCTTGTGGTTATCAGCATATACCTAGATCACTCGCCCCTACAGTGATTTACTTGCATATATATATATATATATATATATATATATATATATATATATATATATATATATATATATATATATATATATATATATATATATATATATATATATATATATATATATATATATATATATATATATATATATATATATATATATATATATATATATATATATATATATATATATATATATTTATATTTATTTCACACAAAGCCTGTTCAACGAGCTTATGGCGCCGTGAACCTCTAATGGGGACTACCCGTATCACGTAGGTGGTCAGAGTAACGTTTTACCAAATCCGGCTTTGAAACACGAGGATCCATATATATTTCATTAGCCCAATAAAGCACGCGGACTTCTACATACAATCAACACCTCAACCCGCCAGGATCGAACCCACGGCCCACGAGCCCATGACTGTGACCAGGGAATATATATAATCAACACCTCAACCCGCCAGGATTTGAACCCACGGCCCACGAGCCCATGACTGTGGTTGGGGAACGCTAACCGCTGGACCACCAGGATACTAAAAGCAGTCCTAGACTTTGTCATATTTCACACAAAGCCTGTTCAACGAGCTTAAGGCGCCGTAAACCTCTAATGGGGACTACCCGTATCACGTAGGTGGTCAGAGTAACGTTTTACCAAATCCGGCTTCGAAACACGAGGATCCATATATATTTCATTAGCCCAATAAAGCACGCGTACTTCTACATACAATCAACACCTCAACCCGCCAGGATTCGAACCCACGGCCCACGAGCCTGTAGGAATTCGTGGTATAATGTTGTCTAGCACTCAGGATGGATGGAAACTCTAAGGTGGTTTTCTTGTATAATATAAGTTATATGATAGACAGTCTGGTGCTGGAGGTGCCGTGTGGTGAGGAGCTGCTCAGTGGAGACGTTCGGTGAGTAGCGTGTTGAAGGAGGTAGATGTGCAGGAGCTTCGTTAGAGAAGATGTTGCCTGTTGCTGGCCTCCTGGTTGAATGAATGCTGGACAGCGTGGAGCTTGCTGGAGGAGGTGTTGCGTGTTCAAGAAGAATGCCAGAATGAGAGCTGGTTGGTGAGGAAGCTCAGAGAAGGATAGCTGGTGGGTCGCCATTCTCGCTGGCGGGAGTGAGGACCGCCAGGCAGGCGAGGAGAAGCGAGGGCCGCCAGGCAGCGGCAGAGGAGGAGGTGTTGCTTGTTCAAGAAGAGAGACCAGAATGAATCTCAATGGAGAGACAGAGCTTATATACCCAGCAGCCGTGAGTCCTCTATGAGTCATGTTGGGAAAACCCGAGAAAGTCGCCGGTCTTTAGGTCCGTTGCTAGGGAAGGTGGTAACATCTGGTGACGCCGCTCGCTTGGTTGCTAGGATACTGTCGCATTGGAATGCGGATACGCAGTTGTAGGGGAGAAGTCCACTACAAGCCCATGACTGTGACCAGGGAATATATATAATCAACACCTCAACCCGCCAGGATTTGAACCCACGGCCCACGAGCCCATGACTGTGGTCGGGGAACGCTAACCGCTGGACCACCAGGATACTGAAAGCAGTCCTAGACTTTGTTATATTTCACACAAAGCCTGTTCAACGAGCTTAAGGCGCCGTGAACCTCTAATGGGGACTACCCGTATCACGTAGGTGGTCAGAGTAACGTTTTACCAAATCCGGCTTCGAAACACGAGGATCCATATATATTTCATTAGCCCAATAAAGCACGCGGACTTCTACATACAATCAACACCTCAACCACCCTGATTGTATGTAGAAGTCTTGTTTATAATGATATATATATATATATATATATATATATATATATATATATATATATATATATATATATATATATATATATATATATATATATATATATATATATATATATATATATATATATATATATATATATATATATATATATATATATATACAGTTGTACCCCACTTAACGCGGTCAATAGAACCCAGAGGGTCCCGTGTTAAGTGAAATCCGCTTTAAGTGAACAACAGAACATATGGGATTAATTCCAATAGAAACCGGCCCGACCCCCAAACTCCACTTTTTGAAGGCACATACCTATGTTGTACAGTAGTAAAAATAACATCTTAATTTTATGATGGTACATGCACACAATTAATACTTAAGAGAAATAGAGAAATAGTCGCCAAGTTAATGTCCATTCAAATAATGGACTCAACTCCCTCCCCCTCTCACACTACACTGCCGGCTCTTCCCTCTCTGAGAAATTTTTGGGGGAAAACCACTAAATTTTAATAAATAATACCTCAAACTAAAGTTAGGATAATACAATTGACATTGCTGGATTCCTTGTAAGACCAGGAATATTTTGAATATAAATGTCATATATTTTGCACAAAAGATAACATAGTTACCTAGAGAAAAATTTTTATCTAAAATTTGTATGTTTAATGCAAAATATATGATGTTTATATTCAAAATGATCACCAAATTATAAGAATTCCAGCAATGTAAATTATATTCTGACCGGGTAATTTGTATGAATTTTATGAGCTAAAACAAATATCTTCAGTTAATAAAAAAAAAAATAATCTTCACGACACTATCTGTCAATCAAAGTACCCCACCTTGCCTCCCCCCCTCTTC